ACAGTTGTGTTTTGTGACAATGAGTCTGCTGTGAAGCTCGCCAAGAATGCTTGTCTGCATGGGCTGACAAAACACATAAGGCCTAAGTGGCATTGGGTGAGGAGACTCCTTGATAAGGAGGTACGGTTGGAAATAGTGAAGACCCATCAGCAAGCAGCAGATATTTTCACTAAGCGTCTGGCGGAGGCGGATCATTGGAAGGGCATGAAGCTTGCTGGGATCAGTGTGCATTGAGTATGCATGCTTGAGATGTTGGTATGGTGGATGATGGTTGGCAGCCAGAGGGGGAGATTGTTGTGTGATGTCATGATATGCTATCACATTCTGTCTGCCTCCCATCCCTTGTTTCAATTCACATGTATGGTTTCAATTCACCATGTTGGCTCCTAGCAGGGATCCCCACCCCTGCCACCGCTGTTTCTGAGACTACTGCGGCTGGAGCTCGACGCGCACGACCTGGGACTAGCGCAGCCGGTGCATCAGGTATGTGGTGTGTTTGGCTGTTGTGTGTTGTTCATCCTAGTGGTGCTCTATTAATGAACTGTTCTGCTACTTACAGGAGCCCCCACCTCTGCCCGAGCTGAACCCGACACTAGCACTACTGAAGCTCGCCGTGCAGGGCCTGACTTTGCTAGTGGTGAGTCGAGTTTCTGCCTCTGTTGTATCCAGTCAATCACAAGCAACTCTTTATTAATAACCTTGTCCTCATCTGGTAGGAACCCCTACCTTGGCCCCCGCTGTACCCAAGACTAGCGCTGCTGGTGCCCGTCGAGCAGGATCTGACTTTGCTACCGGTGATTCGTTTTTTTGGCCTCTGTTCTATTCAATATTTAGACACAACTCTTTACTAATAACCGTAATGGCATGTGGTAGGAATCCCGACCCCTGCCTCAGCTGTACTTGAGAGTAGGGCTGCTGGGGTTCGTCGAGCAGGACTTGCTGGTGTTTCTATTGGTGAGCCGTGGTTTTTACTTCTGTTGTATCCATGTCTTTACAAAAAACTATTTACTAATAACCACGTTGGCAACTGGCAGGAACTCTGACCCCTGCCACCATTGTACTCGAGAGTAGTGCTGCTGGTGCCCATCAAGCAGGACCTGAATTTTCTACAGGTGAGCCTTTGATTTTGTTGTACCCAGTGCTTAAAAGAAAATCATTACTAATAACCTAATTGGTACTTGGCAGGAACCCCGACCCCTGCTTCCGTTGTACCCGAGAGTAGCACTGCTGGTGCTCGTCGAGCAAGAGCTGACCTTAGCTGTGGTATGTCGTGTCATTGTTTGTGTAATTTATGCACATTGATCCCAATCCCTTGTAACTCAATTCGTTTAAACTGTCTACTGCAGGGAATGATTCCACCGCCACTGGAGGAGATGCTGGACGTCGCACGCCTGGCATGGAAGATCGTTCCGAATCGAGTGCAGGCGTGGCAATTCGTGCAGCTTGCTACCGTCAAGAAAAGCTCCCGTTCCTCTCCACTGCTTGTCCTGCAACAATATCAGCTGCCAATCCCAACTCCACTGCCATTACTACTTCCTCTGAACCTAGCCTCAATCTCATTGAGCTGTTGTACTCTAATGCTCTTTGACAAGTACAAGACGCATTGGCAGGAACGTTACCCTTGGCTCGTTCTAACCAAAACACCCAAGGGATTTCCTCCTTTCAAGTGTATCGTGTGCTCAGAGCATGCCGGAGATACTGGGAAGTGTGGTCGTAAGGGAAAGGGTGCTACTGATGTGCAGAACTAGGCATTCAAGTGGCATGCCGGCACGAACAAGCACAAGTTGGCGATGCTGCGGCAAAACAACCTGCTTGCAAGCTGCCACCCGACAACCTCCCATTGATGAGCACCCAGCGGCAACTGACATCGAGAAGGATCGAGCCATCGCACTCCTCGATGCTCTCCACTTCAACTGCAAGAGCAACGAGCCAATGGAAGCCTGGGTTCGGCCTGTGAAGTACCTTACAAAGAAGGGAGTGAAGGGATTTCCGAAAGGATATGGGAGCTACTATATCGCGTAAGTTTTGGGTCTTATCTAACTTAACATAGAGTTTCGCTCTATATGTTGAACCCATGTTGCTTACCACTACGTAGAATATACTTTTACAATTGTGTGCTTTCCACATAATCTATACAGATATGGCTTCGGGGAATTCACACAGTCAACTGCAACTTGGTTGCAGACAAACCAACTCTACCATATTTGGGCTAGTCCCTACTTGGGCCTCAGTTGCAACGAGTCAACCGATCGCCGCCGTGGGAAGCATCTCATCGTCTACGCTACATTCATCAAGAACAACGTGGTCACAGAGTTTTCGCACTGTTGACTGTAGACCGAGCGAATGCGGCGTCACTTCTTGGCTTGCTGCTCTCACACCTTGGAGCTGTCGGCATCGACCTCTCCCGCCTGACTGGCATCAGCACAGACGGGGCGGCAGTGATGACTGGCGTACGCAATGGGCTTGTGGCAAGGCTGCGCACGTGCATTCCTCACCTCGCTTCTTGCCATTGAATTGTCGGGTGTCTTTATTGATTTGCTTCCAGGGTTTGTTTGTGTCTGGAAATAAGTTGAATGTTTCGTTTACGTTACTTTCAGGGAGGCGTTGGCTGCGAAGGATGCCGCAGACTCATTGCCACAGTTTGGGATGATAGATGCCTTCATCCGGTAGTTGGCGGAGATCCTTGGATGCTCGGGACCTTGGCACCAGCGCTTTCTGGATTTGCAAGAGCTGTTCTGCCAGAAAAGTCTCGAGCTACAGGGCATCTTCAATGTCCGCTGGCTATCTCGCGGTGAGGCCGTCCTGAGGTTGGTGGTGGTGCTGCCTGGTGTGATTGTTATGCTTCATGAACTGGGTGATGCCAGGATGTACAAGATGGCAAAAAGCTTCATGTTTCAGTTCTTGCTCTTTTTCCTTGCTGACATGCTTGAGCAGCTGAACGTCTTGAACAAGACGTTCTAGCAGCGAGAGGTGAGATGGTGTTGATTTTGGTGGCGTGCTCAGTGAGCGCCTGTCTGCATTCCTACGGCTCCATGGGGAAGGGGGATTACGGCAAGTGACTGCTCAAGGGGTGGATGCTGATGGCCAGCCTACAACGCACACGTACCTTCTGCACGACGACGCGATTGAAAGCTACGATGACCCTTTCACCCACAATGGAAGTGTGGACCTCTGTACGGCTATGGCGGAATCAATGGTGGGAAACCTGCTGGATCGGCTGGGCAACCTCGACTCGTTATCCGGAGTGCGCCTCTTCATCTCGCTTGACTGGCCATTAGCTTGCCAGAAGCGGAACGCCCTCTGCCTCGAACATCTCATGTCTCTGGTGGCTCTGTTTTGGGCGCAGCATTCAGAGGAGATCTTGCCCGGTATGTTGCGTTTTCGCATGTTTGAATCTACTATGTAGTTGCTATCACTTTAATAACTGAAGCGTGTCCTTGTTGATTATGGGTAGGCATCAACAAGCGTAGGGCTATCAAGGAGCTGCACAACTTCTGACCCGTTCGAGCTACTGCCCTGAGATGTGAGAAAAGTTTTCATGCAGGCCTCACTACGATGCTCAAAACGCCCGACTGGAAGGATGCCTATCTGAACCTGGTGAAGCTGTGAGTGGCGGTTGCTGTCCTGCCGCTATCCACTGTGGAGTGTGAGCGCGGGTTCTCCCGCCAGAATGTGAACAAGAGCTGGCAGCGCAGGGCCATCAAAGGTGCGCGGTTTTCGGATCTCATGGCCATGTCGCTGCTGAATTATGAGCCAGACTGGGAAGAAGTGGTGTCTATTTGGAGGATTATAAGAAGCGACGACCTTTCTCAGTGACCGCCCGACCGAAGAAGCATCCGACGAGCAGGAAGGGGAAGGAAGTGGCAGAGGAGGAAGTGGAGGAGGTTGAGGTGGACAAGGATGAGGAGGAGGAAGGGGAGCTTGTGGGGGGTGAGGCAAACGACCGATGGGATGATGATGGGGAATTTGAGTAGTGACCAAGTGATATGGCTGTGCAGCTGAGAACTTGCTGCAAGGATTCTGTGAAGCATGTTAGTATGGCGGAAAACTACGTCGGCATTGCCCTTATTTTAGCTTGTTTTGGTAAATATTATATCATAAATCTAAAGGTGCGATAGAATCTTATTAGGAGGACAACGTAAAACCAGCGTAATTTTTTTGGTGAACCCTGATGGAAAAGCCAACTTTCGCAATCCAACACTGATGAAAAAGTTTTTTTTTTTTTGTCAAGACCGATAGAAATTTTTTTTTCCAGTACGACACTGAGCAATCAAGGCACCTTAAAACCAATCGTGAGGCCTGGTCCGAACCTAGCCTGTCGTGTCTAGTATGTTCTAGGCCTGTTGTAAGGAATTTTCCATTCCTTACCGAGCGGTACTGCTATCGCGGACGCTCGAACACACCCGAAGCCTCGGGACGGTTATGGGCCTTTCTGACAAAACCGCCTCGGTTTCTCCAGACCTTCTAGTTCGACTTTCGGGAGTTCGTTATTCATTTCCACACTACTCTGCTTGTTCATTCATAACACCTGGTATTCAGAGCCACTTTCCTTGCTCACCCGTTTTCATGAGTTGATTTTTTTTTTTTGGGGGGGGGGGAGGGGTGGGGGTTAGTCCCTCACAAAAGCTGCAAAGCGGTTGCTCGCGAATTAGACTGATTAATTCGCCCAAGTACGATAGCTTTTGCGCTTACCTGAGTATAGGCACACTACGGATTTCCCCTTGCCCCAGCTGAGCATTCGCCAAATGGACCAAGCTCAGTTCAACGACCTTCCGGAACAGTTCAACGCCATGAACACACGCATGGCTACAGTGCTGGAGGACAACGAGCGGCTTCGTGCAGAAGTTGCCGAGTTACGCCAGGCGCGAGAGGATTCGTGCCAAAAAGCTGCCGCCCAAGAGGAGGTAGCCAGCACTGGACGTGTCGAAACCGTTTTGGACAAAATCGCGCATGAGGTGTCTCAGGAGCGTAAGGACAACGAATCCACTGCAGCAGCTGACGTGGCAGTATGAGCAGCAGGCGAAGCAGCAGCAGCAGCAGCAGCAGCAGCAGCAGCAGCAGCAGCAGCAGCAGCAGCAGCAGCAGCAGCAGCAGCAGCAGCAGCAGCAGCAGCAGCAGCAGCAGCAGCAGCAGCAGCAGTAGCAGCAGCAGCAGCAGTATCAGCAGCAGCAGCAACAGCATCGACAGCACCAGCCGCCCAGTCAGAAGCAGCCGCTACTGTAGCCGCACCGGCGGTCATGCCGATAGTGACGACAGCGACAATCAAACCGACAATGCTGCCCCCGTTCAACCCCACAGATAAGAATACTACTGTTACAGGCTGGTTATTTTCGACGGAACTTCATTTTAATGCCGATGGGATCACTGTAGACAATTTAAAAATATTCGGGTGGTTGTATCACTACTACGGGGACCTGTGCTAGATTGGTGGCGATATACACTACAAGAGGGGGAGTTTTTGGCAGGCAACACACCGGGGTTTTTCAGAAACCTTGGGTCTGCTGCCCAGGGGTCAACCACGGTTTTCGGATCGACCAAGATTCGCACGTGGAAGGCATGGGGTACAGCTCTGCGTAAACGATTCGAGCCAATATCCGCCTCGGACAACGCACACACAGAGCATGACAACTGGTGCCAGTGGAGTTTTGTCCAAGATTACGCGTCGGTCTTTATGGCGTTATGCGATCAAATCACCAATATGCATGACTCCAAGAAGAAGGCTTGATTCATTTCGGGCCTGCAGTAGGACATTAAATGCGAGGTTCGCTTGTGACTACCGGCGACGTTTCACGAAGAAGTCCGGATCGCAGACACCTTCGACGCGCATCAGATGTATGCGAGAGCGGGTTCACGGGAGGGAAATCGTTTTCGCGACCAGGATCCACGGCCCACGATTCACGGCGTAGTGGCAAAGGAGCACATGGAATATTTTCGCAAGGGACAATGTTTCAATTGCCACTATTTGGGTCACCAATCTCACGATTGCCCCCGAAAGAAGTAAATAAAGAAGAACCACGAAGGCAGGTCAGGAAACGCAAAGCGTCAGTAGCGGCCAGGCCCCCTATTGACCCTGCCTCATCACCCGAAAAACACCATCCCCACCGGGTGGTAGTTCTGACACACGCTATCAACCGCTCCCGGCTGAATAAGGGGGATGACCCAGTGGACCACCGTATGCTGGCGGAAGGACGACTCAATGGAAGAAAAAATAAAATATTCATCGACGGAGGTGCGAGTCACAGCTTGATAAATCGGGAGACAGCACGAAGACTACACTTATTGTTGGAGGGGTGTCTGCCCGAAATGGATGCGAGACTGGTGGATGGCACCCCGCTGGCGATACGCGACAAAGTACCAGTCGTTCGTATGAAGTGTGGCGAAGATTTCAGCTTCAGCGCGTCGATCCTAGCGACGACACTTGACGGCTACGACGTGCTGTTGGGGACGCAATTGGCTGCAAGGATTCAATCCACATATCAATTGGACGGCAAGCGAGTGCACAGTGAAGTGCGATAAAGGCTGGCGAAAACTACCCACAAGACAACCTTGACATAAGTCAACGCGATGTGCCTCAATCTAGCGGTCAAGAATGCAGCGGATTTGTACGCCGTCCATCTTACGCCGTCCATCTAACCGAATCCATGGAGCAGAACGAGGCAACCAACATCACCAAACTCTGCGCTTCCGTCCCCGATGACTTGGCAAAAATCATTCGGGAATATCCCGAGATTTTTCCAGACGACTTGCCAAGTGGACTGCCACCCAAACGAACCCAAGACCACAAAATCGACCTGGAGCCCAGCGCGCAGCCTACTGTACGAACTTAATGGCGCGTGACTCAGCCCGAGCTACACAAATTACGGAACCAACTTGACTACCTGCTGGCAAAAGGGTTTATTCGACCGAGCACGTCCCAGTTCGCAGCGCCGATCCTGTTCACCCCAAAGAAGGACGGCGGACTTCGCATGTGTACGGTCTATCGTGCCCTTAATCGGGTAATGATTAAATTGCACTACCCAATCCCACGCACGGACGAGCTGATTGACAACCTTCGCGGAGCTCGCTACTTTTCGAAGATCGACCTTCGTGGCGGTTACCATCAAATTTGGGTGTTCGCTGACAACTGCCACAAGACCGCGTTTCGTACTCGCTACGGGAGTTACGAATACGCGGTAAAGCCGTTTGGATTAACAAACGCCCCCTCGATGTTCCAGCTCACCATGAACGGGGTGTTCCGCGATCTACTCGACAAATGTGTGATCATTTACTTGGATGACATCCTGATCTGTAGCAAGACCCGCGAGCAACATTTAAAGCCGCGGTACACATTCAACGCGTCTCGGGAAGGAAATGTGGAGGTCAAGAAAGGGGGACGACAGTGATTGGAGGGCGAGAGGCGAAATAAAACTATTGACGCGAATTGGGTTGAGTTTCGTCGAGGGATTTTTTGGACACACGATACTGGGGGAAATGGAATTGCATTGGGGGGATTGGATTTCGCGGGGTGGGGGGAGGGGAAATTGAGTGGGGAAAGTTAGAATTGCGAGGGGTGGGGGAAGAATTGAACGTGATGGGGAAATTGAGGGGTGGGTGGGGGGGAATCGAACTGACAAGCGGAACGAAATGCGAAGGGGGGGGGGGATTGAACTTGACTGGGGGGGAATTGGACTAGAGAGGGGAAGGGGGAAACGGAAATGACGGGGGGAGCTGGACAAGCGAGGGGTGGCAAGGCGAATCAAATTTTGGGGGGGCAGGGGGGGCTTCGAAGTTGGGGGCCAGGGGAATTGAATTTGAGGGGACAGGGGGGGAGTTTCGAGATTGCGGGGCCAGGGGGAATCGAGATTGTTGGGGGAAGGGATGATCAAAATCGTGGGGGAAGGAGGCTGGGAAAACGTGAGGAAAGGGGGGTGAGTCGAGAGGTGGCGATTGGGATTATCAGTACACAATTGCCACAATCCACCTTCAAATGTTTATCTGCAGGTTGCGAGATCTCGCTACCTCCAGCAGGAATCACTCAATTACCACCTTTTCAAATGTTTATCACTTGAAACAAATTGAAGTGAATGTGTACCGCGGCTTTAAGGGATTTGGAAGCGGTTTTTCAGCGGCTGCAGCAGAATCGTCTCATCACCAAGTGCTCCAAGGGCGAGTTTTCAAAACAAGAACTGGATTTCCTGGGGCACGTGATCTCTACGGAGGGGATTCAAATGGACCTGAAAAAACTCTGGGCTATTCAGGAGTGGAAACCGCCAACAAATCTGCAGCAGTTGCAAACATTTCTGGGTTTGTGAATTACGTGAGGCGGTTTATACCCAACATGGCAGGGTTAACTGGACCTCTAACCGACCTACTACAGAAGGGGACTTCTTATGAGTGGGGGGAGAAGCAGCAAGCTGCATTCAAGGCATTAAAAACTCTTCAAATGTCGCCACCCGTACTTTGCATCCCTGACCCGGAACAGCCCTTCGAAGTCATCACCGACGCAAATGATATCGCCATCGAACCAGTGCTCATGCAAGATTTCGGCAATGGTCTTCAAACAATCGCGTACGAGTCTTGGAAAATGCAATCTGCTGAGCGCAACTACCCGGTACACGACAAGGAGATGCTGGCGATTGTCCACGCGTTCAAAATCTGGAGGTGCTACCTGACTGGAGCAGACGTGACAGTGCGAACCGACCATAAATCCCTACAGTTTCTGAGGGTGCAACCGAATCTCAACCCGTGGCAGATTTGCTGGCTAGACTATCTAGAGTCCAACTTCACGTACAAGATCACGTGCAAAAAGGGCGCCAACAATATTGCTGACGCCCTCTCCAAACCGTCTGCCCAACTCGCAGCAATACTAGTCGCCCAGAGCAACCCGCTACGGAGTAGACTCTTTACCCACGGGTATTCGGCTGACCCCTTCTTCGTAAATGACGGCCATCTCCAAATCACCACACGGAAAGGCGTCTATTACTTGCGAAGCGGGACGGATCGAATTTGGGTCCCAAGTTATCGTCTACTTCACGAATTACTTATTCAAGAACTCCACGATTCGAAATTATCATGACATTTTGGGGTTGATAAAACTGTGAAGACGTTGCAACGGTTTTTATTACTGGCCAGATATGGTGACGGACGTGCAGCGTTACATGGCCGCGTGTCCGATCTGCCAGCGAATGAAACCATCACATCAGAGATCGACAGGACTGTTGCAGCCCCTTGAGCCACCTCAACGCCCATGGCAACACGTAACGATGGATTTCATCACAGGTCTGCCAACCGGATCCAGCAGAGACGACGCAGTATTGGTTCTCGTCGACCGATTGACAAAAATGGCACATTTCACACCATGTCGTACAACCATCACAGCCGAAGAAACCGCGCGACTGTTCATCTTGGCCGTTGTTCGCCTACACGGGATACCAGTAGCAATCATTAGCGATCGAGACCCGAAGTTGACGTCGAAATTTTGGCAGGACACGTGGGCTCGGTACGGCATGCGCCTGCAATTCTCATCTGCATATCATTCCCAAACGGACGGTCAGACAGAGAGGACAAACCAAACGATGGAGCAGCTGATTCGGACAAACTGCCCCAACCGAAAAAAATGGGAGGACACACTTCCCATGTTGGAATTCTCCTACAACAACGCGCCCTTAGCTACGACTAATGACTCCCTGTTTTACCTCAATCACGGGATGGACCCGACAGTACTGATCTCTACCACGGTCACAGCAGTTCGTCGAAGAATTACAAGCTGCCCGAGACAAAGCTATCAAACTTTTTTGCAAGGCAAACGCTACTGCTCGACGGTATGCGGATTTACATCGACGGGATATTACAATGGCAGCAGGGCAACTAGTCCTTTTGGACACCAAGAACTTACAACTGCCACTACCGACAAAATTATGACCACGTTTTTGTGGCCCATTCAAGATCATGAAGATGGTGACGCCAGTGACCGCCCAGTTGCGCCTACCTGACGATTCACAACAAGTTCCGCGTGAGCCTGTTGCGACCCTTTGTACCTGACACATCAGACATCGCTCGACAGCGATTGGTCCCGAATATACGACCACCAGCAGAGACGACCGTCGAGCCTTCGAAGATTTTGAGCCATATGATTCGTATGATTTTGAGCCATATGATTTTGGCCATATCGACGGCCAAGGACGACACGTTGTCTTTCTGATACGATGGACCAATCGTACCAGTGAGGACGACACGTAGGGTGCCCTCTGACCAGATACAGTCACTTTCGATACTTGCGAATTATTTGGCCTGCAAGCACGTGGCTGATATAGATCACCTTCGCTAAAGGGGGGGGGGGGGGGGGATTGGGTGGTGTAAGGAATTTTCCATTCCTTACCGAGCGGTACTGCTATTGCGTACGCTCAAACACACCCGAAGCCTCGGGACGGTTCCGGACCTTTCTGATAGAACCGCCTCGGTTTCTCCAGACCTTCTAGTTTGACCTTCGGGAGTTCTCCTGGCCTCGCTTCGTCATTTCGAGGCCCTTCGATCTCCATCCCAAATCTTCACATCTCATGGTTAGACTAGCTCTGGTGTTCTTATAACTTGGCTTGCCATTCCTTGTATCGTCATTCAGTGATTCAACCAGGACCTCAGAAGTCAGGCAAAAAAGGCCTGAAAGCTTGTAAATCAGGGTGTTTTTCAGGGGTCGGCCTGTTTTTTCAGGTTTCGATTTTCCCTTGTCCTGATTTTTAGGGGCTCTTATTTTGATAGGCCTGATTCATAGTATGTTCTAGTTACGTGTAGCCTGATTAATCAGCCTTAGCGAATTTTCGGCCTGAAACCGAACCCCCCCCCTCCCCCCCCCCCCCGACCCCCGGAACCACGCTTGCTGAAGCACGTGTGAGGGGCGTGATTGGTCCTTGACCAAAATCACGAGTCTACATGGAGTTGCGATAGAGCACGTATGAGGAGCGTTGAATGTGGTCCTTAGCCGAATTTACTTGCAGCAATGAAGCTGTGCTGGAACATAATTGGTCCTTGACGAAATTTACTGAACTTCGATCAATCGTCAAAGAGCTGCTGCAGTTTCTACCAAGGCACACTCACAAGCCGAAGCACCAACAATGCATCTGCCTTGGCATCACGGCGCTATGTGTCCTGGCATGTCGCGTCGCGCTGCTCGTTCCACCACCACCACTCTCACCGTCCTCATCAGATCGGTTGTGGGGAACCACCTGTTTCATGCCTTTTTTTACAAGCTGATCCACCACTTTTGCTGCACTCTTGGCACGCTGGTTTTGCAGCACGTTAGACTAGCTTCTCGGAGTTGTATCTCTGCCTCTCTAGTTTAGCCTCCTTTCGTTCCTCACACCCGTCATGAGCGATGACGAGGGGTGGCAGCTGCAGGGGTCGAGACGCCGCAGCTCTAAGGCGACGTCAGGGCCAGCGAGCGCTCAGCCAGGCCTGCAGTCAGCACTGGATCTCCTTGTCCATCCCGTAGCTACGTCGAACTGGTGGCGGTCGGATGACACTCGGGTCGATCCATTCCCGCCGCTGCATAGCATTCCCGCCGCTGCGTAGCAGTCCCGCGCATAATCATGTGCGAGGTTTTCCTCAGTTGCGTAGCCCTGTGAACGTGACACGCAGTTCGACGCCGGTGCAGACCAGCTCGCCGCGAGTTGCGTCGAGTTCGCTGCCACCCCCTTGCAGTCTGCCGCGAGTAGCTGCTCAAAGGGGAAGGGGAAGGAGAAGGCACCTGATGAGGAGGAGGTGGAGGAGGTGGGGGAGATGGAGGAGGTGGAGGAGGTGGAGGAGGTGGAGGAGGTGGAGGAGGTGGAGGGAGAGGAGGGGGAGGAGGGGGAGGAGGGGGAGGAGGAGGGGGATGAGGAGATGGAAGAGGATGAGGATGAGGGAATGGCAGAAGGGGAGGAGTGCAGCAATGGTTTGGTGACTGGGAAGATGAGTGATCAGCAGAAGCATCACCTGGAGCAAGAGAAGCATCACCTGGAGCAGGAGAAGAATCACCTGGAGCAGCAGAAGCATCACCTGGAGTAGCAGAAGCATTACCTAGAGCAACAAAAGCATCACCTGGAAGACTCTGCCTTGTGGCCACAGCAGCTGCAGCAGTGGCCAGATTATGGGACCCAACCCAAGTATCAGGGCTATGTATATGTATGGATGTATTATATAACCTGCTGTGAGATTGTTGTTGTGACAGACCTGGGGCTACAGTAATTCCCCGTTATATCGATACTTCTTCACTGCATGCAAGTCCTTGCGTAAACAGGTGAAATGCATACACAAATCAGGGTACTCCAGATTGTAGCCCTGACCAGTCAACCTTGAAATTTTTTGGGCCTAGAAAAAATGTGTCACTTCCTAACCCGGACTCTAAAAACTATGGGCTGTCGCAAGGGTGACCCTGAGGCTTCAGCCCTTCCAAAACCAATCTGAGGGCCTGGATTCAATACTTAGTTATTCATTTCCGCGCTACTCTGCTTGTTCATTCATAACACCTGTACTGCGAGGTCCCCTTCTAAGTCTTTTGCTACAGGGTAACAAATTCTCAAGATGCTGCATCTTGAGACTTTTGGACTTGGAACCTGTCAGTCAGGCTTTAACAGTTCCCTTCCCTAAAAAAATGCAGTTGCCAATGCGGCAAGACCGAGGTCGGCTGGAGGTGGGTGGGATGGGCTGGCTACCCTGTGGAAAGATATTAGACCGAGTCAGGTTATTGGCCGGGTCCTCTCAACTAAGGCTAGGTATAACAGCGATTCGCACTGTTCTTTGTAACAATTGCAGGAAACCCGGCTTCGGGTTCGGCTCGCGTTCGTATTTGCGCCCAATGAGAACAAAACGTTTTTACGCCCCACATTGAATTTTTTGTGTCCGAAATCCAGCGTGTACACCTCGATAGCAACACACTGATAATGGTTACTTCCGTGGGGCTAGGATGAAACTGCACAATTTGAAATAAAAAGGTTCTTTGAAGCTGATACAAAAGACTATATTAATACGATGTAAATACTAAGGCCATGAAAATGTGTGAAGATACCCCAAAATTACTAGATTTATTGTATTATAGATTAAAATTTTCATATTATTTCTCACATCCAAAACAATCGCACTTCATAATTCAATTCATTGTGGGTGGATGATATTTGTTTGCTAATTACATGTATAGAACTCGGTTGTTGATATTTTCTTGAATTTAAAACAACAGATTATTTTCATATCATTCAAAATTCTAAGTCAAGTTTGTTTATTTGCATTTATATAGGAGGTGAAAACGAGGAACCAGGCCTCATATTCTGTAGCCGCTTACTATAGAGCTTTGTAGTGATTTCATGTAATGCATTATCCAGGCTTCGCAGAATTGACCGTACTCTTTGTGCTAAAGCTGAGGGGCACGTGGCAGAAACAGACTTTTTAGAAAATCCACTGTGGCTCGGGAAAATTGCGTTCTCACTTCTCGTGGATCTGAATGTGAGCCGAACCCGAAACCGGGTTTCTCGCAAATGTTACAAAGAGCAGTGCAAATGGCTGTTGCACCTGACCCTAGTTAAAGCCGTTGACCGATAACGTACAAGATTAAGAAAGATGAACCAGGCAAAAAGTTGAGCTGGAGGAAGTACACGGGTGTGGAGGAGTGGTGTGAGGGTGGCGAGAGTGGGCGAACACATCACACTACGAAAACCAATCAGAACGAGCATACAAATTATGCCAGAACTAAAACATTCGCAAACAACGACTGGGGGAAATCGAGGGTGGGGAAAAGGAAAGCGGAGGCGCGCGCAAGGCGCAGGGGGGAGTGGGGGAAGGAAGGGCACGTGACTCTGGGTTGCGCATCCTGGCTGAGTTGCGCAACTCGCTTGGAATCGCCAAGCAACTCGACTTGCGCATATCAGAGCGTGGTACACCTCATATCACGAGTATGTCTTCAAACTGAAATTCGAACAGCTGATGCGGCTGTAGACGTTTCGACTGTTTTGAACGCGATCAAGTATACTCTATAAGTTTTTTTTTTTTTTTTTTTTTTTTTTTTTGGTTGCGGAGCAACCTATTGCAATCGATCGGGCTGGTTTTTTTTTTCAAGTTTGTGAAATAAAAATCAAATGTTTGTTGTGATGGAAATAAAACATTTTATGTATAATAAAGTCTCATCATGAAATGCTCCGCAACCCTAAGACGATCTCGTCGCCTCTTGTTTTTTTTTTCGAGTTCAAGTCGCGCATCTCACTTGATACGATATGTACCGCGCCCTAATAAAAACTGGCGTTTGCTGTGCATGGTGCCTTCGCTGCCTAGGGCGTAGTAGCACTGGGCTGGGTTTCCACTCCTAAAGTCCCAAAATGTATGAGGGGGAGTTCAAGTTTCTTTCTGCTCAAACGCCTGGTGTGGCGGGGGCAGGGGCATAATCAGCTGGGGGTGGCGCAAGATTATGAACTGTTTCCCGTGGTTTTGTTGCGCAACGTTCGTTTTTGCTCTCGCTCTGGGGAACTGGGTTACCAATCGGGATGTTTCAAGATAAATAAACTTGAAAGTCAATTTCTGCAATTTGGGTCAACGGCTTTAAGGTTCCGGGCCGATAACCTGACTCGGTCTGATGTCTTCCCTTACACTCGGCCCCCTCGATCTTAGCTCGCCTGTGATTGGTTGTCCTTGTCGGAGTTTCCTGATTCACCCTCTCTCAGCCGAGCCCGACCTCTCCTGTCTCATCTCCCTCGCCTGCATGCTACTCATCCATTCAGTCTGCCATGGAATGTCAGCCAGACATCGGTGTCCTCGATTTTACGCGAGTCCTTTCCTAAGCCATGTCCTTTCCTTGTCGCGCTCCATGCCTGGCTGGTAGTGATTCGCTTTGCCATTCGCTTCTTACTCCTAATTGTCTCGCGCCACTAGCTAAGCTAGCTAGCTTGGTTAGCTAGGCTCGTTTCTGGACCCGGCGAAGCAGGATGTCAGGATGGTCGAGTCCCGTTTTTCGGGAGTCGCTCGAAGCTCTCGAGGACCCACACACCAGAAGAGGATCCATGGCGGCTTTAAGGTGCTGCTTTGGCTTTGAATGTACAGTCTTAGCGCTGGGTGCTATCTTAGCGCTGGGTGCTATCGTAGCATGGAAGGTACTATCTCAGCGTGGAAGGTACTATCTCAGCGTGGATTTCGTTGTAAGGATTTATGAAACAAGTAGAAGCGTCGCAACTGCTTTCATTACGCTCTAGAATTGAATCCTTTCAGAATTGTGTTCGTTCGTTCTCATCTCAACTCTGCTCGCGTCCCGTCATCATCGACGTTCCTCGCCTCCTGCGTTCTGCTCGCGAATGCATTTTCGTCTCTCGCGTTCCTTCTCCCCCTCCACGCCAGGCGCACGGTGCACGACGTGGCGCCGGAGGCGATGCCGCGCCTGCTGCACCACGTGGCGGAGACGACGGGCCGCCACACCACCAGCAAGCGATACGCCGGTGAGGCGAATGGGGGAGCACGGCCCGTGACGAGTTGTTGCGACGACATGCGTGCACGATTCGAGGGCCACTGAGGACTGATTGGCTGCACCTCGCACTGACGACGGGCTATATCGAAAGCAGTAGAGCATGCGTCGTACGCGCATCGGAGTTTGTTTCAACTAGTGTCGCTCTTTCGCTTCCCCTCCCCGCAGTGTCGCTCTTCGCGGAGTGCGCGCGCACGTACGGGCAGCAGATGGCGCTGCACGTGCCCAAGGTCATGACGGCGCTCGTGCGCGCCCTCAGAGCCGGCGCCCGCCCCACCAACGGCGCCACCATGGCGACCAGCGCCGCCTCGGCTGCTGGCGCTGCAGGGGGCACGCCTGGCGGCACTAGCAGCGGCGGCGGCGGCAGGAGCGCGGCGTCGCTGCACGCGGCGTGCGCGGACGTGGTGGTGGAGATGGCCACGCACTGCACTGCGGACGACGACGAGGGCGCTGGCAGCACGGCGGCCACGGCAGAGACGCTCATAGGTGGACGTTTCAGATACCCGGCAGATGCGCTGGGTTCTCATACAGAAGCAACAAACGGACTGGTTCGGTTTCTCAACAAGCGGCACAGCTAGAGCCAGGGGTCGCTCTTAAAGTCGCCTCGTCAGTGATCGCTGCAGCAGCAATGCTATCAGCATTGCCGTCAGCCCTATCAACACTGCCGTTAGCCCTATCAGCACTGCCGTCAGCCCTATCAGCACTGCCGTCAGCCCTGTCAGCACTGCCGTCAGCCCTGTCAGCACTGCCGTCAGCCCTGTCAACACTGCCGTCAGCCCTATCAGCACTGCCCACAGCCCTATCAGCATTGCCTTATCTACATCCAGCAGCATCCTCTGCGCGGATCGCCGCTGTCATTCTTGGCCGGTCCACTCTCTGTGACATGATTCTGTGCTCTCTGGGCGGCTGTCTTTGTCTGCATCCGTGTGTGCGCAGTGCTGGCGGCCATCTGTGATCCGCTGGCAGCGGAGCTGGCGGAGCAGCACCAGCACCACGTGCAGCAGCAGCAGCAGCAGCAGCAGGCGGCAGGGGTCGGAGGAGGGGGTCAGGCGTTTGCAGGGGACGTGGAGCATGACGCCCTGTCTGGCGCGGCTAAGTGCCTGCTGGCGCTGGCGCAGGCGGGCAAGTGGAAGCAGGCGAGTGCTCAGGGCAGGGGAGGGGAATGCTAAGGTGATTGTGAGGGAGGAACTTGTTGAAGATATGGGGAGTGGTTGAAGGGTGGGCGAGTGTTTAGGTAGCAGAAATTGTTTGATTGCGTCAGTGGTATGTTTTCTTTATGATAGCACAGTGACTGCGGAACAGGGCTTGGAGTCTGAGTGCGAAGCATCCGAGCATGATGCGAGCGAGCTCATCTCAGATTTTGCAATGTTCTCGCTGCTGCCTCCTCCTGTCTGTCTTCCTGATTGTCTGTATCCCTTCTGTCTTCTTCCGTCTGTTGTGCTCCCTTCCCCCTCGCCTCAGGTGCCCAAGGCCTCCCAGGAGCGGGTGTTCAAGGCGCTCACTGCAGCGCTCGGTGGCTTGCACCGCCCTCTCACGCTGCTCCAGCTGGCAGCAGAGCTCTGCCACCTGGACGCCAGCCTGGCGAAGGTTGGTTGGCACTCCATGCGTCATGCATTATTTACTATCAGCGGGGCTTGTGTGCGTTTCTCAACCCCTACCACCATCTTTGCCGCTTGTGTCGATGCTTGAGCTTGACACATGCGTGGCTGCCATGCCCCCGTGCCGCCCCGCAGTTCCATGCAAAGACGCTGCTGCGCGCCGGCAAGGAGGTGCTGCGGGGGGCGAGCGCCGTGGACCACCGCTTCTACGCCGTGCGCCTGCTGAAGGAGGGCATGCGCAGGTGGGCGGGCAGCTGAGGGCATGCGTGTGGGTCGGCATGCACGTTATGGGCTGGCTGAAAAGGGCTGGCTGAAAAGGGCTAGCGTTTCAAAGATGAGGTCTGGAATGGCAGGCATGGGTCCTTGCTTCGCCATGGGTGGGTGTGTGTGTGGGTGTGTGTGTGTGGGGGGGGGGGGGTGTGTGTGTGTGTGTGTGTGTGTGGGTGTGTGCGTGTGTGTGTGTGTGTGGGTGTGTGTGTGTGTGTGGTGTGTGTGTGTGTGTGGTGTGTGTGTGTGTGTGTGTGTGTGTGTGGGTGTGTGTGTGTGTGTGTGGGTGTGTGTGTGTGTGTGTGGGTGTGTGTGTGTGTGTGGGTGTGTGGGTGTGTGTGGGTGTGTGTGTGTGGGTGTGTGTGGGTGTGTGTGTGTGTGTGGGTGTGGGTGTGTGTGTGTGGGTGTGTGTGGGTGTGTGTGTGTGTGTGGGTGTGTGTGTGTGTGTGTGGGTGTGTGGGTGTGTGTGTGTGTCACTGCGTTTGCTTGCCTCAGTGTGAGCACGTGTCCCTGTCTCCGTCAGAAGCCCGGTGTGTCGAGCAGCCCACACTGGGTTTAAACCGGATGACTACAGCAATGCCTGCCAGCTGCTCCTTTCTATATTTACGAGGTTTAAAGGAGTGCTTTTCGCGCCACGCCATCACCCTGGCAGCGACAGCGTGGAAGTGCGAGCGTCCATGCCATCCACATGGCCAACGTTGCTCTGCGTCCTTCAGACTTCAAGCTCCTCCTTTCACTTGGTCAGTTACATCCGAATTCATCTCTCAACCCCTCTGCCGTCCCTCCCCATGCACCCGTGCCCCCCAGCAGCTGCAGCGCGGCGGTGTTCCAGGCAGAGCTGAGGGACGTGGTGGCGCTGCTCAGGGACGCCGCCAACCACGCTCGCCTCAAGGACGAGGCGCTGGCTGCTGGCAAGGCCATCAAGGACAAGAAGGTGCACGCTGGCTGGGCAGAGGATTGGTGGGATGAGCCTGCATTGTTGCCAGTCGAAGCTTACATGCGCCTGATAACCAACGCAAGCTAATAAGGATGTCCCGAGAGGGGAAGGTGGGATTTAAGTGGGCGGATTTTGCGTGTCCTGTCCTGTTGCAATCTGCATACTCACTCTGCCTCCGCCTCCTCTACCTGTTGATCAGCGCGCTCGCCTCCTCCCCATCACCCTCCGCTCCCCCTCACCCCATCAGAAGCAATTCCCCAGGGCTGGCGGCGCCTCTTCAGCCGTGAAGTCAGCAGTGCGATCGCGACCCGACGCTGCCAGGCGGGCGGCGCAAGCAGAGCCCGGCATGGCAGATTCCCACGGCACTGCTGCTGCCGGCAGCAGCAGAGAGGGTGAGCAGAGGCAGCTGGGTGAGAGGCGGCAGCAGCAGCAGTGGGTAGAGGGAGAGTGGCAGTCCTCCACCTCGCCCACTCATTCGGCCGTTTCCTCCTCAGCGGCCTCCAGCCCGCCTGCCAGACGCCTCCCCTCCTTCTCCCCGTTCACCACCGCTCCTGCTGCCTCACACCCCTCACACCCATCCCGCCCCGCGGGGGACGCGGACCCCACGCTTTACTTCACTCCCGTGGGCGCTCTGCCTCTCGAATCCTCCCTCCTGCACTCCTCGGCTCAAGCGGCATCAGTAGCAGCAGCGGTGGAGCAGGCAGCAGCAGCAAAGGAGGGTTCGTCTTCTGCCTTCCAGAGCCCACCGCGTCAGTTCACTGCCTTCCAGGCCCAGGGGACCGCCAACCACACGTCCACCGCTGTGCACGGCAGTGCCATTTCCACCGCAGCGCCCTCCAGCACGCTGCAGGCTCCCTACACCTTCCGCTCGCCGTCCTTCTCGCCCTTCATCCCCTCGCCCTCTGTCTACCTCGGCCCAGGAGGCTCCACTCACGGTAAAGCTTTTGTCTCCCCGGGCCCTGGCGCGGCCATAGAGAGCCCGGATGGCGTGCGGTCAGTGCGGCGGAGAGTGTTTCAGGAGGACACGCCGGTGAGGGGTGTGCAGTGCGCCCCCTTCTCACCCGGCCTAGATTCGCTCCAGTCGCCTCACAAGTCGTTTGGGTCGGCTGAGTCAAGCCAGCCGCCTTCGAGGAACACAGGCAAGAGTACGGGCAGGGTGGTGGAGCGCGGGGAGCAGGAGAATGCGGGCGCTGGGATGAGCTGGCACAAGGCTGTGGGGCCTCCTGCTGGCGGTGGCAGCGGTGGTGGGGAGAGGGAGTGCAACCCCGCGAGCGCCAGCAGCAAGGGCAACACAAAGGGCGCCTTCAGTCCCAGCCTGAGCCACGGCGGCAGGGGCGAGTTTGGGCGTGCCAAGTCGAGCTCCCCTTCGTCCACGAGAGGCAACTCGCCCATGTACGAGCTGGCTGCCGCCTTCGTGCGCGCCAGGAAGTCCCCTGACCTCCTCGGCCGCGCGGGCGCACTCAGCCTCAACGCCGCCTCTCCATCCTTCCCCAGCCCGTACCGCCTCGGAGGCAGCAGGATGGCAGGGGGGGTGCTGGCCACTGCTGCTGGTGCTGCTGGCGGGGGGATCAGTGGGAATCCAATGCGCACCACTCTCTCAGGTGCGTACAGCTCGTTGTGTGCTCTGCTGTGTATCTCGTTGCCTGCTTCACCATGCCGTCCTTCCCTTCCCCGTCCCCCGCCTGGTTCAGCCCGGCCCTGTTTCAGGATGCCTGTATTCCGTGCGGAGCGCTGCAAGTTTCCATGCTACTCCCGTGCTCACCACCTGCTACTCCCGTGCTCACCACCTGCTACTCCCGTGCTCACCACCTACGCCTGTCTTCTCCTCATTGCCTTCCTCCGTTTTCCCTTTGTCCCCCCTGCCTTGCCGTCCCCCCTCCCCCTTCCCCCCCCAGACTCCGCCATGGCCCCCGACTCGTCCAGCACCAGTTTCTCCTTGCACCCCTCGCGCCGCTGCTCGCCCTTCACCTCGCCGGACGCCAGTCACCAGCCCTCCCGTTCGCACCTTTCCAGCTCACCGGACGTCAGCTCCCAGCCATTCAATAGGCAGCCGGTGGCGACGAGGCTGGCAGGCACAGCGGAGGGATCAGGGGAGGCGGGGGAGGCGGGGTTCCTGCTGCAGCTGCGAGGCGCTGATGGGGCGCACGGCAAGGCACATGAAAACAGCAGCAGCGCTGGCATTGGCAGCAGTGGGGTGTTTGTGCGGCTCAGTGGGGAGGTGGAGCACGCTGGGGGAGTTGGGGAGGCATCACGGGGCGAGGGCAAGGGGGAGGGAGATGGAGAGGGTGGAGGAGAAGGGGCGGTGGTGGCAGCAGATGTGGGGATGCGGGGAGAGGGGAGTGACGCGGATAGGGGGGCGCTCGCACCCCAGGCGTCAGCGGCAGGCAGCTCGCCCGGCAGCACTGCAGCGCCAGGGGAGGGCAACCCGGGGCTCGGGGACGGGGGTGGCGAGTACGAGAGCTCGTCGGGCTTCTGCCGCCTCATGTCCGACGCTGAGGTGGCGTCAGCGCTCGCCAGCCTGCCCGCAAGGCACGTCCTCACTGCCCTCAGGTAGGCCGCCTCGGAACATGCGGCACACCTCATTCTGCACCCGCACAACCAATTCCTCTCCCACTCTCCTCCCAACCCCCCCCACCCTCCCCTCCTCTCGCGCCTTCTTTCATCCACCCTTCCCTGTTTCGCCTGCTTTCATCCACCCTTCCCTGTTTCGCCTGCTTTCATCCACCCTTCCCTGTTTCTCCTGCTTTCTGCCCGTTCTTTCGCTCAATTGAGGGTGCGATGTCTCTTGGCCCTTGCCCCTCCCCGTTCCCCGTGCCAGCAGCAGCAAGCCCTCAGGCAGCAGCACGGCTGGCAGCCATAGCAGCGCCATCCCTGCAGACACCACCACGCACTGCGCCACTCTTCCCATGGACCGCACTCCACCGCCCCTGCACCGCACCTCTGAGCCCCCCCCACCCTCCAACACACAGCCGCCTGCCTCGCTGCTCTTTGCGCCGCCACCTCCCATCCCAGCCAGCATGCAGCACATCCCGCCCTGCCAGCCGCGCACACAGCAGGAAGAAGGCGCAGGGCAGAGCGGTGAAGAGCGGTGGTGGGAGCAGCAGGGAGAGGGATGGCAGCATGGGCAGGGGAGCGCGAGCAGGGGGGAAGCGGGTGAGGGCGAGGGGGAGCAGCGCGAGGCACAGGGCGAGGGACGGGGGGGGCTGTACCAGTTTGGGTCGAGCTGCCTGTCGCCCCCTGGCAGCATCGGCCGGTGGGCGCTCCAGGGGAAGGCGCCCCCCCCCATGGCCCTCTTCACAGAGGGAGGGAGTGGCGCCACGTCAGCCAGAGACAGTGCCACGTCCGCAAGAGGTAGCGTGGCATCAGGCAGAGGAGGTGGAGACGCGGCGGCGCTTGGCAGCTCGCAGTCGCTGCGGGCCAGGCTGCAGCTGGTGAAGGCGGCTGGCGGGCTGAGCAAGCCGCGATATGTGAGCTCAAAGAATCTGGGAGATCAGAACTTTATGCAAGTCTGGCTTTCGCTCTTTCTGCCCTTCACTCTCCTGCCCACCTTTGCCTTCCCTCCCCTCCCTCGATTTCTTCATTCTTCCACTCTGCTTTCTTTCGACTACATATCTCTCTGTGTTTCTGCTGGTGCTGTCTGGCGAACTCCTGTTCACCTGTTCTCTCCTCTCGGCCTCATCCCATTTTTCTCTTGGCCAGGTGCCTGTCATCAGTTACCCCTCTTAGTCTCCTCTACTTCCACTCCCCCCCCCCCCCGCCCTGTCCCCGCTGCCCAGTCGTCCCCCATCCGTCCCGACGACCTGGACTGCCCCGTGCCGCTCACGGCCCTCGCCAGGAGTCTGCAGCACACGCCTGTGAGCGAGGGCGAGGTGGACGTGCTGCTGCACCAACGCCCCTGCAGGGGGGCTCCCGACAGCCCCAGGGGCACAGAGTCAACGCGCAACAGTCCTGTCGTTGCCAGGCCCAATGCCCCCACTGCTCCCACTGGCGCCACTCCCACTGCGACCACCACACCCGGCAGCAACAGCAGCGCCAACAGCGGTGCGAGTGGCAGCGTGTCTCCCTTCCCGCATATGTGTGGCAGGGTGTCTCCCTTCCCCCATATGTGTGGCAGCATGCTGGCAGCGCCGTGGAGCATGCGCACCAACCCCATGGCTGACACGGCGACGCACAACAGCAACCATGCTGGTGGTGCTGCTGCCGATGACGCTGGTGGTGGTGACGACACAGACGCATGGGAGGAGGAGGTGCAGGAGGAGCATAGTGAGCTGGAGGCCACTGCGAGGGAGGAGCAGCAGGTGGTGGAGCAGCTGCAGCAGTGCGTGCAGGGGATGGGGGGGGAAGAGGCGGAGAGGGAGGGAAGCGGGCGCAAGGAGAGGGCGCATGAGACGACAGCTGGCACACAAGCAAGGCCAGGTGCAACGACGGAGGAAGGCGAGGGAGCGGAACAGACGCAGCAGCAGCAGCAGCAGCAGCGGTGCCAAGCAGTGAGTGGAGAAGCAGGGGCGGCTACAGAGGTCTGGAACCGAGTCACTGGCGGCACGACGATCGACGCGGGCAGCAAGACATGCGACGGTCGTAACGCCGTTGGTGCGCGCGCAGATGCTGCTGCTGGGCTGCTGGCGAGAAGGAGGGGCGATTCTGACAAGGCGGGGAACCCTGGGTTGAAGGGAAATGGCTCCGGGGGCGACTTGAGCCACTCCTCTGAGATGAGTGGAGCGCCGCATGGGGCTGAGAGTGACAGTGACGGGGAGGAGGAGGGGGGAGGGGAGGTGGAGGGTGAGAGGGGGGTGATGGCATGGGTGCTAGCGCTGATCGCAGCGGCTGAGAGGGGGGTGGAAGGGGTGTTGCAGGTGCTGCTGCTGGCTGTGCTCGTGCTGCTGCTCGCACTGGTGGGCGGGCGGGTGGCGCAGGTGCTGCAGACCGCCACACCCGAGGGGGACGACTTTGTGCCGACGTAGCGGCGGGCACAGCACCAGTGCGGGCCACACGAGGCGGAGTGAACGGAACGATGGGACGTCTGGCAACACCGCAGAGCAGAGCATGCGTACCGTGGTCATTCAGCCATGCCCACTGCGGCTGTCCGCCCTGCCCTGCTCGCACTCACCCCCATGGCAGCGCACACCCACGGTCCACATGCCCACCCCACCATGTTCCATCGTAGCACCGCACCCTCTGCCACGAAGCCATGGAGCTGACACTGACTGACACCTGAGCACACCCTGAGGGAGAGCACATGAGACCACTTGAGCACCTGATACCACATGAGGGCACCTGAGAGCACCTGAGTGCACCTGAGCACCTGAGAGCACCTGAGAAGAGGTTGCAGTTTTGTTGTGTGAAGGAATGTCCATGGTGTGGTGCCAGGCACACGGTTGAGAGGTCCCATCCCATCCCATCTGAGCCGAGCTCCTGGACCGACCCACTGCTGCACGCGGTTTATGCTCACCTGCCGAACAGCGGAAATGCGCGCCTTGATGTGCTGCCTCGTTTGATGTGAAGCCCCCCCTTGCCTTCCCCAGTGCCTCGCACTGCATGCTCACGTCACGGACCTTATCCCCGCTGTTGCTGTGTGCCTTCTCCCCGCCATGTAGGATTTGATGCGCAAGCATGAGGGCTGTCCATTGTGTAATGTTGTCATGATGGGTTCATATAGCCTAGACTTGTGCTGTGCACTGTAACCAGACTCGTTGACTGAAAGAGGTGTAGTGGTAGGGCCAACATGGAGGGCTTCACGTGCGGCACCGTGCAGCACCGAGAATTGCGGGCGCGAGAGGGAAGCCGCGAAGTTGGCGCGATCTGGCCAGAGCGGAGTCCAGCAGACCGACTTTGTTGCTGCGAGGGCTTCGCGGCGACTGCGGCCGCCACCATCGCACACTCGAGCGTGGCGCGGGGGATCGCCAGCTAGTTCAGGACGGCACGCACCCGCGGCATATAATCTCTCTCATTGGAAGTGAATTTTTGGCGCGCCTGCTCCCCGCGTCTTCCGCGTAATGGATCCCGTTGCCGCCTCTCCCGATATCAACACAACGGACGGCCAGCGATCTTCGTTGTCGCTAGCTGAATCTGGACCGTCCGTCAGTCTCCACGTGGCGCTGCCAGATGGCTTCTCGCTCGCCGCCGCTGTGTGCAGCTACGGATTCTTCATGATGGCGCCGACCGTCTGGATCCCGCCACGTGGCAGCGAATCAACGGCTCCGAGGGGCCTGGAAGTGAAGAGGGAGACGGAGGAGGCGGCGGTGGCAGACCCGGGGAGAGCGGAAGCAAAGAACGGAAAGGGGGACGCGGGGCGCGATGACGAGCGCGGTGCGACGATGCGGGCGGCGGGGAGCGGGCAGCGTGGTGGGGGCGAGGGGGGAAGCGGTGGGAGAGCATGGGAGAGGGGAGAGCGCGCGTGGGGCGCCATGGAGAGGGCGCTGAGACTGGCGGACGGGCGCGCGGTGATGGTGCGACTCACGCAGCATCGGGCTGCTGACGTCGCACAGCTCGTTGTTGACGTCATGGAGTGTGGTGGCGATGGTGCGGCAGACCAGAAAGGGCCAGACGCTGACGTCAGCTCGTGCGCAAGTGACGTCACAAGAGAAGTTTGCAGCGCTGGTGGTGCTGCTGATGGTCCTGGCGACGGCAGTGGCAGCAGGAGTGGTTGTGACAACAGCAGGAGCGTGCCAGTAACGAGCGGATACTGTCTAAGAGTTAGGGTTATGGGGCTGACTGCAATCTCTCAAGAGGACAGAACACGGCTGTTGGTAAGTCCGTGAGACGTCTACTTTTCGGCTGTTGGCGCGCCATCACGTCTCTGCGCTGCTGCTGCTGCTCATCGCCACTTGCTGTAAACTCATTTTTCTCATCCTCCCCTTCCCCTGACTCGAGCCCCTGCCATCTTCTCTTTGTCTGGCGCTCCGTCCCCCTTTCCCCCGTCAACGCCACGCCATCTCGTGCCATGCCCCTGCTGCGCCTGTGCCCCACGCCATCCATCCCCAACCCCGTCCCCTGCCCCCTGCCCCCTGCCCCCGCTTCCCCCTCTCCGTCCGCCCTCTCCACTGTCTCAGCAACCTCCATGCTTCATCTGCTCCGCACTTCCCTCCTCTCCCATGGCACCGCCCATGCCATTCCTCCCCCCCGATCGCCCCCCACCCCATGTCCCCACCCCATGTCCCCACCCCATGTCCCCACCCCATGTCCCCACCCCATGTCCCCACCCCATGTCCCCACGCGCCCCGCAGTGCCAGGTGCGGCGCATGCTGCGCCTGTCCCCCGCGTGCCTCGCCTCGCTGCGCGCCTTTCATCGCCTGCACCCCGCCGCTGCTGCCGCTGGCTTCGGTCGTCTCTTCCGCTCGCCCGCGCTGTTTGAGGACCTTGTCAAGGCGCAGCTGCTGTGCAACTGTGAGTGGGGGGGGGGGGCACCTCTGTCGCTCCTGGGTCACTGCGTTCGCACATCATTGCACGCTCGCTGCTCTTCCACTCACCCTCCCTCCCGAGGACCCGGTCAAGATGCGTCCGCTGTGAAGCTGTTGATCAAAGGGGCCTCCTTTTCGCCCCCTCAGGCCTCTTAGTGCCATAAGAAGCTCGTGAAACGTGATTATGGTGAATTCGATGGGTCACTTCGAGGCCCGCCCCACCCTTACATGAAGTCCACTTGCCTTCTCATGCACCTCCTTCCTTTCTGAGTCTCCCGCTCTCACCGCCTCTTGATCGACGGGTATGAGAGCATAGGAGGTACAGAGCACTATCAGCCTCACACCATGGCGCTCTCCCTTTCTCCATTTTTTCTCCCCTGCTTGCCCTTCTCTCCTGTCTATAAACCCAACCCTCCACCACCTCTCTGGCGCCCGCCTGCGGTTGCGGCAGACCACTATGGCACAAGCACTTGTTGCGGCGTCGCAAAACTTCACTGCCCGTACCCCCCTTCCATCATGCCACGTACGCCATGCAGGCGGGTGGGGCAGAACGCTGGCCATGGCGCGCGCGCTCTGCCAGCTGCACGCGCACCACTTCGGCCCGCCCATCGGCGCTCGCGGTGAGGTTGCAACCGCTCTGGTGAGCGGCACTCACCATGAGCTTTCAACGCCCTACGGCCTGCCCATCGCTCTGTGAAGTGCCCACGAGAGTCTCGTTGCGGAGTCGTAGAAGCCATGAGCCATGAGCCATGAGCCATGAGCCATGAGCCATGAGCCATGAGCCATGAGCCATGAGCCATGAGCAGTGCTCTCACCACCGTTCAACTTGTGACGCCCGCAGTTGGGCTGCCGGCTCATGGGGCAAGGAGTGCGCCCTTGGTAATGCGGTTTTGGACTTCTCCCGAGTGAGAGAGGGGGGTTGGAAATCGAGCTGTTCCCCCAATGCTCTCAACTCTCCTACCACACATCATCATCACAACTTACTGTTGTGCGGCATGATAGGAGACTCTGACATGTGCTGTTACGGTTACATCTCTCCTGCACCCCACCCTACTTATCATCACCGCACTACCCCTCTGTCTCTCGCCTACTGCCCTTCCTGATCCCCCTCCTCTTCCAGATTCCCATGCCTGCATAGGTGCGTTTCCCGAGCCTCACGAGCTCGCAGGCTTGGAGATCCAATACCTGACCAGCAGGTGCGGGCTGGGATACCGAGGGCCACGGATTGCCAGGCTGGCAGCTGACGTGGCATCTGGTGCCATTGACCTGGCAGCGCTTGAAAGGGGCTGCCTGCAGAGCGGTGTTGACGTGGCAGTGGTGGAGTGGGGAAGGGTGGAAAGCGGGGGGGCGGAGAGTGGGTGTGGGAGGGAGGAGGAGGGCGGGATGGAACGAGCAGGAGACCTTGCTGCGCCTGCAGACGCGGGTGCGCACAGGGCCGTGGCGGCACTGGCGGCCCGCGTGTACAGCAGGAAGAGGAGGCGCGGTGCGCAGGAGCAGGGGTGTGCGGTGGAGCTGCAGAGGGGAAGATCGGATGGCCTGATGCTGCCAGCGGGTGGTGGCTGCGTGCTGCCGGCCGTGGAGGCACGCATGGTGGAGCGCCAGCAAGGGTGTAGTGCTGCAGTTGAAAGGCAGCAGTGCGGCGGTGCTGGCGCAGGCAGCCGGAAGGCGGATGAGGCGAGGGGGCAGGGGAAGGGCAGGGCGATGGAGGAGGCGCCGTGGGAGGAGGCGGCGAGGCGGAGGGTGCTGAATCTGCCGGGCTTTGGGCCGTATTCGTCCGCCAACGTGCTGCAGTGCATGGGCGTCTTCTGCTTCGTGCCCGCCGACTCTGAGACCATCCGCTACCTCAAGCACGTGCGTGCACCCGAGCAAGTGTCTTGCTGGACGCCCTCTCCTTCCAGCCTTCATTCTGCTCTTTCATTGCCGTACCGTGTAACACCTGCCTTCCAACCATGCCCCACCATGCCATGCCATGCCATGCCCCACCATGCCATGCCATCCCCCACCATGCCATGCCATGCCCCACCATGCCATGCCATGCCATGCCCCACCATGCCATGTCATGCCCCACCATGCCATGCCATGCCATGCCCCACCATGCCATGCCATGCCATGCCCCACCATGCCATGCCATGCCATGCCCCACCATGCCATGCCATGCCCCACCATGCCATGTCATGGCACCTGCCACTCGCACCCCCTCCTCCCCACAGGTGAAGGGGCATGCCTCGTGCACACCGCACAATGCGGAGTCGCTGGCAGCACAGGCATACGCCCCCTACGCGCCCTTCCAGTTCCTCGCCTACTGGTATGCTGCCCGTGCCATGGCGCCATGCGCAACGGTAAGGCTGTGCATCATGTTCTTCTTAGGCCTCTTCCTGCTTCCAAACTAACAGCTTTTCTTAAACGCGATTCCATACTGTGCCGGCCACCAAAGGATTGTCCTGGAATCCTGACACCCCAGGCCAATTACTTGCCTGCCATTACCTGTCACTCTGTTCAAGTCTTTTGGCACTTTTGCCATTGGGTGCAATCCTTTTGACGTGGTTGTTTGTGTGTTGTGTGATGCGGCGATGGCAGGTGGGAGATCTGGCAGGACTACGAGCGTGTGTTTGGGCCCATGGCCCACCTGTCACCATCGCGCTACCATCTCATCACGGGGCACAACATGCGCAAGGAAGGGGTGGGTAGATTGGAGGCACAGGGAGATGTGGATGCGAAGCTTGCTGGTGGCGCCGAGTGGGGAGTGCAGCCAGGCAGTGCTGGCGAGCGGTCCAGAGGCAGTGTAAGCAGCGCTGCCAGCAGCGGCACGCGCTCCTCCGATGCGGGGACCAGCGCTGGCGCTGCCATGGCGCACGGTGGAGTGGCACCAGGAGGTGGGTGTGCGCATGACCGCCTCCCTCATGTGCGCGCACCCCGCAGCATGGTCAGTGCGCCGCATGGCAGTGCGGCTGCTGTGCCTCCATGTGATGCCCGTTCAACTTCAAGCCGGGCTATGTCAGCCCGACGCCCTCCCCAGTCAACAGTTGGCCGTGCAAAGTCAGCCCGTGGCCGCGCGGAAGTACCGCAGCGTGAGGCCACTGGGAGGAGAGCGCGAGCAGCGACGAGCGGCACAGCAGACGGTGGGGGAAAGAGCGTGGCTGGCGCGGAGATGGGGGCTGAGGGGAGCGGTGAGGACAAAAAGGCGCGTGCAGCAGGAGCAGTGGCAGCTGGGGGGCTGTGCGGCGCAGCAGCAGCAGCACTGGCAGGGGCTGCTGGGCCCAGTGCAGCAGGTGAAGCAGGAGCTGCAAGCGGTGTGGCTGCTGCCATGG